AAAGGCTAAAATCCCTGTGTTCCCTCCAGAGGGAGTTTCTCAGCAGGAAAGGACTCTTTAAAGTAGACACTACATACTAATATGATCCTGAAAATGATCAGAACATGTCCTCTTGAATTTGAAAACGCTATCTCAAGACACGAAACATGTCTCTTGTGTTCCTTCATTTCCAGAAAACCAAAAGGGATGTGAATAACTTTGACCAGGACTTTACTCGTGAGGAACCCAACCTGACGCCGACAGAAGAAAACATCATCAAGCAGATCAACCAAGATGAGTTCAAAGGGTTCTCCTACTTTGGAGACAAAACTGTGGACTAGACACACACACACACACACACACACACACACACACACACACACACACACACACACACACACACACACACACACACACACACACACACACACACACACACACACACACACACACACACACACACACACACACACTACACTGACAAAACCTACATACACACAGCATCTTTAAAGATATCATATTTAAAGAAACACAGCCTCCTGAACTTTTCCAGATAATGAAGTCTCCAGGAATTATACTAGACCATCTGTATCTCTTAAAGGTTACTTGTTGTTTGTCTATTCGTGCAACTATATGCTCACGCAGCATGTGAGTGCAGACAGAAAGTAAATACGTGTGTGTGTGTGTGTGTGCGCGTGTGTGTGTGAGAGAGCAATAATGTAAGTGTAAAGGTGCATGCATGCATAGTTGCATACCTGTAGAAAGACGTGTTTGTCTTGTGTCTCCGTGTTTTAAAATAATGTTTTTGTTCACTCAACTTGTATGCGAATAAAAAAAAAATGGAACCAATGATTGTATTTAAAGAAAAAAAGAAAGGAGATGTCAAAATGAGTTGGAAGATGTTTTTTTCCCGGGTGAAATCACGATTGAATTCGGAGTTTTATGAATGTTTTTATTTTGAAATGTAGTATTAAAACTGTTAGGTAAAGAAGACGCACCACGAAGCGACTTCCTGACGCATTTAGAATTCTTAGTTTGGTTGTATCTCATCAAGGTTATGTGCACTGTTTTCCTTCTGTCTTCAAATGTTAGCTTGTTAGCATGTTCCCATTCTTCACAAGCCAAATGCTACACTTAGCCGTCAGCTAAAGGACCTTTAAGACCAGGTGACAGGAAGTGGTCAAATGCTCACTCATTTCTGGGTTTTAGGACTCATTCCTGCACCACTCTGTTCACAAGCCCCTTTAACGTGTGTCTTGATGTTTGACAGTGGGACATTTTGTCCAATGAAGCCAAAAATAATGAACTAAAACCTAAAAATGTCAAAGGAGCCCTTTAAAAAAATGTACTGAAACTCTCTCTTCAGCAAAATGTCTCCAGATCCTTACAACCCTTCATGACCACTAACTCATTGAAATGCCCTCTGTGTGTGTGTGTGTGTGTGTGTGTGTGTGTGTGTGTGTGTGTGTGTGTGTGTGTGTGTGTGTGTGTGTGTGTGTGTGTGTGTGTGTGTGTGTGTGTGTGTGTGTGTGTGTGTGTGTGTGTGTCACTGTGTTTATGGTCGCTATACTGGACCTACAGTCTCTGATTCCACATGAGAGTGTTGAGACGTACATTCAACAGAGGTCAGTGTGAACACATGTGACTGTGTGTGTGTGTGTGTGTGTGTGTGTGTGTGTGTGTGTGTGTGTGGGTGTGGGTGTGGGTGTGGATGTGGGTGTGGGTGTGTGTGAGAGAGCTCTCTTCATGTCGTCATCATGTTGTATTTTTTATTTAAATCATATTTTTGTCGTGTTGTTTTTTATTCAATTGTCTAGTTCTTGCGTTAGAAATCTTTATGTGACGCAGTGAGACTTTGTTAAAACACTGACATGGAGGTTAAATAAACTGTGTGTTGATGCATGTTGCAGGTCATGTTAAGAACTTATTAAACAATACAAACATTGTAAAGAAAACTTCATGTGCAATACTCTAAAGTACTTCTTGTCTTACGTTCTCTTTCGCCTCATCCATGCAACAGGTACACAGAAGAATACTGTAACAATAGTACATTTAGGGCACATCATGTCATAAATATTGCACACGGTTCCTTTAAAGTGCAAGTAAGGGGAGTACAAAATAAATACTAGATGCAGTAGCTGTAATAAAACACACACTCATGGTGGCGGCGCAGATTTAAAGAGGCCCTTTTGTGCTTGGTAAGTGGTCTACAAAAGGCTAAAATCCCCCGTAAACACTCGCGCTCCTATTGGCTATCGCTCCAACACATTGTGCGTGATAGGCTAAGGGGCGGGACATCGCTAAGCTGGTTGACCAATCACAACAGAGCCGGCCAGCTAACCAATCAGAGCAGACTGGGCTCTGGTTTCAGACAGAGGGTGAAAAGATGTGGTAGTATGAGAAAAATAAAGAGCTTTTTGAACATTAAAGCGTGGAGACGTGTCTCTACTTTAAAGAGTCCTCTCCTGCTGATGTTCAGGTGTATATCAGTATGTAGTGTCTCTACTTTAAAGAGTCCTCTCCTGCTGATGTTCAGGTGTATATCAGTATGTAGTGTCTCTACTTTAAAGAGTCCCCTCCTGCTGATGGTCAGGTGTATATCAGTATGTAGTGTCTCTACTTTAAAGAGTCCTCTCCTGCTGATGTTCAGGTGTATATCAGTGTGTAGTGTCTCTACTTTAAAGAGTCCTCTCCTGCTGATGTTCAGGTGTATATCAGTATGTAGTGTCTCTACTTTAAAGAGTCCTCTCCTGCTGATGTTCAGGTGTATATCAGTATGTTGTGTCTCTACTTTAAAGAGTCCTCTCCTGCTGATGTTCAGGTGTATATCAGTATGTAGTGTCTCTACTTTAAAGAGTCCTCTCCTGCTGATGTTCAGGTGTATATCAGTATGTAGTGTCTCTACTTTAAAGAGTCCTCTCCTGCTGATGTTCAGGTGTATATCAGTATGTAGTGTCTCTACTTTAAAGAGTCCTCTCCTGCTGATGTTCAGGTGTATATCAGTATGTAGTGTCTCTACTTTAAAGAGTCCTCTCCTGCTGATGTTCAGGTGTATATCAGTATGTAGTGTCTCTACTTTAAAGAGTCCTCTCCTGCTGATGTTCAGGTGTATATATACACGCTCTCTATCACGTCTTTTCTCTTAATGTGTTTCCTCCTTTGTCGTTAATTTAAAAAATGTTTGTCCCTCTTCGACCCACAAAGGATTTTCTCTCCATGCTAAAATGCCAAATGCTATTTCCAAACGCTCCGCCCACATTCTCTTCAGATCAATGTTTATTTAAGAGCAGACAGAAAGTCCTGTCAGAGTTTATATTTATTGGAGGTTCATCTGAATCCTTGGAAGCAGTATTATGATGTTCATCTTCCTCGGGTCAGCAGAATGTTTGTACATGTTGTTGTTGTTTTTGTGTATTTGTGAAGCTTTGTATGTACATGTTGCCACCTGACGTGTGTATTTTGTTGTGTTCATATGTTTTCATGTGCCGCTGCGTACTGTATTTTAAAGGATGTGTATTTTCATTTTGGACATTAAATATCATGTCAGAACGAAATGTTTATTTGTTTGTCATTTCCTGCTTCCTGTTGGGGTTTTAAAACTAAATGAACTTAAAACATTTTTTTTATTAATGTCTTGTTAACTCCTTATTAATAAACTAAGATTGGCCATTAAATTAAGATATAGATAGATAAGATATAGAGATTTAAAGTGCACCAATCATGCTATTTTGAGGCATATATTATGCGTCTCAGATATACAAATATATAAAAACATGTCTATGATGTGTTTTTCTCAAAATACAAACAGATCATGCATTTTAGAAATCCCTCATATCCCTCTGTTCTAGCCTGTTGGAGAAACGCTGATTTTGGGTCCTTAGCTTGAAAAGAAAAAAGGAGAAGTACTCAGATCTTGTACTTGAGTAAAAGTAGAAGTACTCAGATCTTGTACTTGAGTAAAAGCAGAAGTATACAGATCTAGTACTTGAGTAAAAGTAGAAGTACTCAGTTCTTGTACTTGAGTAAAAGTAGAAGTACTCAGATATTGAGTAAAAGCAGAAGTACTCAGATCTAGTACTTGAGTAAAAGTAGAAGTACTCAGATCTTGTACTTGAGTAAAAGTAGAAGTACTCAGATCTTGTCCTTGAGTAAAAGTAGAAGTACTCATCGTTACTCATACTTATACACTTTCACATTAGTATTAGTATTTATATTTATTATTAATAAGTAATATTGTACGTTTTTCAGTAAGAAGTAGAAAAACTCAGGTGTAAAAAGTCACAAAGTTACAAAGTCCTGCATTGAAACACAAAAGTTTCAGCATCAAATGTAACTTCAGGTACCAAAAGTAAAAGTAAAAGTACTCATTATCACTTTCAGTATTATTTTAGTTAAAAAGTTGATCACGTGTTTTTTAATACAAAAGTATTTGTATTTTATTTTGTATTTATTTGTACCTTTATTTAACCAGGATAGGTCTCATTGAGATTATAGCAGTAAATGGAAATACTCAAGTATGTCAAAAAAAGTACTTACAGTAGTTGCTTTCCACCTCTGCCTTCACACTGATTTCCCCGCAGCTCACACCTGTCTGAGAGCAGCAGCAGGTAAGCAGCGCTCATTGGTTGACATGTGTAGGGGGCGGGACTTATCAAGGGGGGCGTCTTCCTGGTCTGTGTTTCCAGCCAATCAGCGTGCCGGGTTCAGGGCAGCAGCTCGGAGCCAGCTGAGCTGCAGGTCAGAGAGAGCGAGCAGATCTGCGAGTTCACACACCGGAGAGAGAGAGGAAAGTTAGCGGCAAAATCAGCCTCTAATACCCGGCCTGAGAGAGGCTTTCTGCGGGGAGAGGCGGTACAATCCTCGGCAGTGTTCTGAGACTGTACGCCCCCAATCCTCCAATAACTGTCACTTCATGGACTAATAAAACTCCTGTCACTTCAAAAACTAACTAAAGTTGGACCTACTTTTGTCTGCGGAGGGATTTACTGCACCAACATGACTGCTGATAAGGAGAAAAAGAG